AGAGCTGACGAAGCCCCATCCTTCAGTAGAAGCTCTTGCTGCTGCGAGCCAGGAAGCTAACGGGAGCTAGCTTTCTTCTTTGTCCCTACAGGGGCTATATGTAGAGCTCCCCCTACAGGTTTGGTGAGAGAGAGTTCTGTAGATATCGACAGCTTATATCCCGGTGTGGCTTATATATGTACGTTTCACGCTTTTTCAAAAAATGTTGTAAGCGCGGCTTATAGTGAGCTGGCTCTATAGTCCGGAAAATACGGTATTTAAAAACTAGGGATATCCTGATCAGATATAAATTTAGGGAATAGGCCTGATATCAGCAAACTACCTGGTAAGAGATTCAATTGCATATGTTATGCAACCAAAATCTCAAATTTAAAGGAAACTGATAGTCCAACCAAACTGCTGCAGCAGAGAGCAGAACTTGTCATGGAGAAGTGTACAGTCTTCTACTCTGTTATCTTTTTGTTTAATTCAAATGTGGAATATTTTCATGGCTTAGTTTAACTTGAATGATAATAATGACCGAGTTGTTCTCAAACTTGACAGTTTTTCTGAAGACCTTTCTGACATTCAACATAACAAATTAAGTAATAAAAATGTCTGATTTGTGCCGATATCATATTGTCTGTACTTACAGCTATCATATCCTATTAAAAAATAAATGTTATATTGGGAAACTCCTAAACCACAGTAAAAAGCATCTAGTTTATGGGTCAAAAAATAAAAAGTGTTGATTATAACTGTAATACCAGTGGAATTTACCTATTTTTCTTTTTTTTTTTAAGGAGGAGGAGAAGTTGTGGATTTTGTGTTTTAAGTAAAGCAATCATCTTGTATAAATATTTGTTTTAAACTTTGGAGTAAATATCCTGAAACCGTGTTATCTCTACTAAACTGTGTAACCGTTTGACAAACAAACTTGAGTGGTTAACACATCAGAAAAGACCTGGAAGCGTTTGCACTTCTTGGACTGCCTCAGGCGACGCCAAAGAAACTTCAGGTCTGCGGCGCTCCAGCTGGATCTGAGAGACAATCCCCTCAGCTTTATTACAGACTACTACTGCTCAATATAAAACAAAACAATATCTTCCCATGTTTAAAACAAACTTAGAGTGGGTTTTTAATCATGTTTTGTTTAAAAGCAGTGAGAATAATAATCTGATCCAACGTGGCATAAATTTGGTTTTGGAGGCATCTGGGAACCATAAATCACTGGTTTCTCTACGTTCTCAATTTGTAACCAAGCTGGAAGACGGTTTCCCATGATAAAAGTAGGGGGGCATTAAAACTGAGACTCAACAACCAATTACCTTCAGTAAATAAAGCTGAAATGGTTCAATATGCGTCCCTCCTACTGTTGACGTTAGCTTCTGACGCTTGTTGAGTCTGAATTCAAATAGCATGAAATCCTTGTCATGAAAAGCCTGGATGCGACCGTCTTTAGCATAGTGCATTAAAAGCCTCCTAAACAAACCAAGAGAAAAAGAAAAAGAAAAAAAAAAAAAAAAAAAAAGAAAATCAACTTTTAATTCCTCCGTTTCTGAGCTGCCTGTGAGACTAAAGTCATTATTGAATAATTACATTATACACCTCCATCAGCCCTTACTGTAATTGTTGAAGGTTTAATGGCGGAAGCCAATAGAAGGAAGGCTTTTACCTTAAAAGCATCAGACATTAGAGAGAAAAGCTAATTCAGGGTTCAACAGCTCAGGTCTTCATGGGGGGGCTGCCTCCACCTGGCAGCATTCAATTAGCCCCCGCTGGTCGTTTCTTCAGCCACACCTGTCAGTGCTGATGCTTTTCTGCTTATAGAAATGCAACTTGTCAAAATGTCAAAGAAAACCTCAAAAGTAAAAAAGAAGCAACGGTATCGATGCAAGTCGCAGCTCTGGGTCTCTGCGGATCAGTGTTCAACTTCAGCTCAGTATCCATCTAGAAAAATGTCCAAATTAAAGCTAACTTGAATCATAATACCATTAAAGCAACTCTCAAAATGCTCCAAATAATGCCAGATTGTGCTTATAGCTTTAAAGAAGAATTTGACTACCCAACAAAAACAAAAAATAACAACAAAAATCATACTGAAGCATTTTGATGGCCACAAAGCATTTTTCAAGCAAATCTTTTTCAATTTTTCTAACTTTCAATCGAATTTTCTAACATGTGCAACAATCCAGGCTCTGTCTTTGTGCACCGTCTACGACCAGCGATATATCTGGTCTGCGTTATTCAGATGAGCCCTGCTTGCCCTTGTGATTTCATTGGCTACAGCTAAACATTGCATGTGGGCTTAACCAATAGCAGCCGGACTGAAAGGTGATGAAAACAAACAAACCAAACATCGATTGTTAATATTTGGGAAAGCTAGGGTAATTAGCAAGACGATTAGTATTAGCCAATTAGATAAGGATAAAACTTGTCTGATTGTAAAAAATGGATTTTATGACCTGATTTTCTCATCATGGAATGTTTGTAATTATGAATATGCTGGATTACTTTTTTATCTGTGGACCCTTTAAGGACAAATGGAATATAAACAATCTAAGATTGGATTTATATTATGGCATCAGCATAGCTTCAAAAGGTAGGAAGTCAAAAGTTTATTTTACAAATTTTGATTTAACATGCTGCTATATATTTAATAATTGTGCTTTGGTGCTCAGAGTCCATAAAATGAATTTGGAGGTTAAATTGTGGAGAATCTCAGCTTTCTAAGGATGTATAACATGGCTATATTAGTAAAAGTTTAACCATTGTTATTATCAAGCGTATTGTGTTTATTGTAAATATGCATAACGGATCGCCGGCGATCCGGTGGATGTTAAGAGGCTAAATTAAATACAAGATACAATGGTATTACATTTACCTTTGCACAACAGAACACCAAAAAGTTGCAGTAATAAAACTTTTCACATTTATTTTTTTTGACATTAGGTTGATTCTTATTTTTTACTTATTTTGTTACAAACATTTTAGATATTGCATTGTAAAAAGTGCACGATTCCTCATTTTTATTTTTCTTTAGATTAAAACCTAAAGTATGTCTCTTCAGAGATTAAAATTTTCATGAGTATATATAAAAAAAAAAAAGATATAAACTTTTTTCAAAAGATCATGAAACAATGTGGCTCTAAACCAGTTTAATTTTGCTGGGTTAAGGGTCAAAGTGGCTCTTTAGATTTGAGGTTGCATTAAAGCAGCGGTTCACTGTTAAAACGCTTCCTCAAACTAAGGAACTAATGGAAAAATCAAAAATAAAACCATGATTTGTGTCATAAAAAGCTGCATTTTATCAGAAAAAAGTGTTTAGATCACGAACATCTCTGGACAAGACCAGACTGGGACGTCCAGAAACAGGGTCTAGTTTTTGGCCCCTTGATTCCAAACGCTATTAGAGCTTTCCAAATGTGCCGGTCGATTGTCCGGAAACATGCGGCTGTTCTATTTTTGCCGCATCCACTCCACGTTTAAGCGGGAAGTCAGTTGATGAAACTCAAAGTGGATCCAGTTTAGTTTACATGTTAAAGAAGTGCAGATTTGGGTAATTTCTGGACTTTCATGTCATAAATACAGCTGATAGTTAGTCAACAGTCAAATATGAGCATTAAATGTAAAAAAAATGAAAGAACACACTCATGATCATGACAGATCCAACAAAAATAACGTAAGGGGATTAGATAACAGGAGTACTGGTGAAATGTAGCCTGATAAACCAGACTAAATGGGAGATTAAATGTGTAATTTAGTCTGGCCCAGATAAATGAGACATCGGAAGATTGTTGATGACAACAACCTGTTGTTTTTCAAACCATGTCTGTGCCTATTTGCCAATGCTCTGACCAATGAGCGCAAATGACTGTGATATAGTAAGCGTGACAGAAAGCTGGTGGGGGAGTGCAAACAAACAGCCTGTCGGTAAAACGGCGAATACGTCCTTCTTAAAAATGAATGAGCGTAGAGCCTCTTCCTGCTCATGTTTCAACGAAAACCCCAAGTCTAATCCTTCCAAAAATGATTCCAAAGCTGAGTCAAACGAGAACTGTTCAATAGTTGTTGCCATCTTCCTTGTTGTGCTTTCTCCAGGGTCATGCAGCTTTGTCATCGCGCCCTCAAAAACCCGCCCGCTTTGCATCCAGAAATTCAAAACACATCTCTGCGTTGTGATTGGCCCACCAGTTCTAGGGCCTGGGGCATTGATCGAGGCTAGACAACTCGCAGGCAACAATGATTTCGGCCGCTGGCGGGTGGGGCTAGTTTACTAGGCTAGGACAAATGAGCAGTTTACTGATTTATTGTTCTATTTAAAGCCAGATCCTAAACACTTCAGTGGAATGGTGTCCCTGGGAGAAAGCGCGGCGCAGCCACACCACTTCCACAAACACTGAAAGTTAAGGTGGAAAGCTCATGACAACATGGACATGGTATTTAAAAAAATACTTTTCCTTTTGCATTGGTTTATTATTATCATTTTTTTTTTATCTTTTCAAAGATAGCACTGTCTTTTCCTTCTTGGTTTGAAAACAACTTTCTAGGTTGAATAAAATTAAGCAAGGTGTGTAGCAAACTTCAAAGCTGGACTTAATAGATATTTTTATTTTAACAATAAAAACAAACAGAAATACCCCAAAACAAATGATGCAAAACCTGTATTTGGTCAAAAACTGCATAAAGGCTTAAAGATTTCTGCATCTATTTTGAAGCAGGAACCTACAGATGTTCTTTAAATGAACACTAATCAACAGCATAATAAAGCTTTATTTAAGCTCCATTAATGTAAAACAGCCACTGACGAAGAAAGAAACTGTTCTAGTCGAAACAACATGGAGTTATCATGGTGCTTCTCCCAAAAAACAACAGCATAAAACCCAAATTTCAAACCATGACCAAAAACAAACATATAAATGCATCATTAAATATCAACAGCAATTAATGCTTGAAAAGACAAGGAAATCACATTATTTCTAAATGAACGGCGACAGAAAGCCTGGAGGCCTCCCACTCACCCATTGATCATACTGAGGAGCCCCTCCACCATGTGAGCCAGATAGGAGACCTGGGCGCTCTCGTCTGGGAAGATGGGGCCGTGCATGGAGGCCAGCTGGGCCAGGCACTGGAGGGAGTCCTGCGCCATGTCCGAGTCCTCCCGGATCTTCCTGTGTATCTGCAGAACAGAGCAGACATTTCTCCTTTAGTATTAATAACAATATACCCTGAATCAGATCAGTCAACTCTTAAAATTCCTGCAAACATTTTTCATTAGCTGCTTCCTAAAGCAATATGCTTACCAAAAATTTAGCTGGAAAATCTAAAAGAAATAAATCCTGTAAGGGGGTTTTGTTTCCTATAGTGGAATAGATCTATGTGCATGCAACAGGCTTGCCGCCACTGAAGCTGTAGATGTTGCTGTGATTGCTTTTCCGTGTGCAGAACCTCTGCACTTGCTCCAACAGGTTGTTTTTAATCATCCCTTGGTCAGAAGTTAAGAGCCAGCAAATCAAAGATCTTTTTTTTTTTTCCCCAATCTGTTTTTCAAATCAACAGGATAAGCAACAATAACCTCATCTTTGAAACACTGCGCCTATAAATGTTTGCGTAAGAATGAGGTCAGCAGCAGGTGGTTCGTGTTTAAGCCAACAGAAATACCTTCAAGCAAGAGTTAATAAAACTGACGAATGCTAATTTCAAACATCTCTGGTGACAGCGGCGAGGATTAATGCCGACAACAGCAAATACTGAAAGATTTAAAAAAGGGCGGCCGGGGGAGAGCTGACACAGGAGCGAAAACACTGGTGGAAGACTTTCAGTTAAACTTTAAGAACAGTTCATTTTTTGTTTACAGGAGCTTAATGCTAGTTCTGATTTCTTTTTTAAATTAAGATCCTATAGAATTTTATATTTGTTCTTCACCAGATGATTATTTTGTAGCGATTTCATTTATTTTATTTCATTAGGATTAGGAACATTTTATAACTTAGCAGCAATCGGATGCAAACAAAACAGATTGTAGCTTTTAATGCAAATTAGGCTTATGCAAACTGAAGAAGTCAAATTATAGCACTTTGTTCAATGTTTATCGAGCACAAATAGGAAACGGCGAGAGTGGACCATCATCTGGGTTTTTATCTGCTGCTGGAGGAAGGAAAGTTTGGTCAAATGAAAGCTTTTCTTTTCAAGCAAATTCAGTTTTACTATAGAAAAAAAAAATGTTGCTTACCTAAAGGGTAAAAGGTTTCTCTCCTAAATTAAGTGGATTTTTAATTACCCAACTATTCTGCTCTGCATCCATTAATATATGCATTTGCACAAAGGTCCTCCACAAATAGAAAAGCTTTAGAACAAAAGGTGCATCTGACTTGTTTAATACTCACTGGTGCAACAAACAAGCCAGAAAACTTAGGCGCTGTAAAATATCCGAGTGCTTCTGACTTCAGTGTGACCCCAGCGACACGCAAATGCTCTCAGAGGAAGGATCCGACTCCTGACCAGAAAGATCTGCTTGATACAGAGTCATGGCAGCGTGAAGCTTCCCATCAAACGTTGATGCGCGCTGAGCCGTCACGCTCTGACAGCAGAAGAGGCATGCTGGGTTCATACAGACACAGAGCACGTTTGGAGCAGCACTGCCACGGCGACTCATCACAGCAACATGTGTTTCCACTGACGGCTCTCTGCAGATGTGCAGACCTCTAATGTCTCCCTTCTTTCTCGGCCAATTCGTCCACTTTTTTTCTTTTTTCCTGCTTCTTCAACCATCCTAATAAATCCGGAGCGTGTGCATTTTCAGTCGGCTCCCCATCACTGAAGATATCAAACTTTCAGCCTTTTCCTCCCTGCTCACTCACTCCCCTCCAGATTATTTCCTGCTTCGTTCCCACACTCTTCCTCCCCTCTCCTCTCCTCTCTCTGTGATCTACAGCTGTGCTGCCCTGCTGGTTATGAGCCACACGGCTCAGATGCTAGCGTGTTATAGCCACCACGCTGTAAGCCCTCAGTGCTGCTGCTCTCTTCCAGAGCGTGAAGTCATCCTCTGGAAGAGCTCAACAAGAGGACAGGAGGAGGAGGAGGGGAACTGGTGAGTAAGTGAGAAAGAAAGCGAGAGGGAGGAGTGGGAGAGCAGCACAAGGCCAACAGATTGAACAGCGCCAGCTCTGGAAAAGCAGCTGCTTCAGTGAATGAGCCATACCATGCCAGTAATGTCAGTCGCCTTGAGTTTGACTATAGTTAGACACACTGAATGCTGCGCGTGTATTCATGCATGCGTGGAGTGGAACGGAAGGAAGAATTAGGGAACATGCCATATATGAAAGCTTGTTGTGTGAAAATAAATGACTAGTCTGGTCGCAGCACAGTAACCTGCTGTTAAACTAAAGATTCGCCATCAGGTTGTACTTCCACTAGAGCACTGAGGGGCATCCTGCACTTCGCATGACATTATTGGGTCATAATGTTAGCCATATGCTGCAATTAACATACGTGTATCATCTAGAGGCTTTTATTTTGTAGAGTCCCTGGAGTCATACTTTGAAAGTCTAGAAGGGTTGTGGTGTTAAAGGTATGAAAGAGGATTTCTCTGAGTAATTAAGTGTCCAGATTCATCTAAAATGGCTTAATTGATGGCTGGCATTCTGGCACCCCCACAATAAAAATAATAAAGTTAAATAAATTAACTTAGAATTCATAAAATCCGGTTGTGGTGGGGCCTGCAAAACCTTAGACAATCTACTTTGCCTACTGTTGAAAGCGGATTTGTTACTTGTTTCCGTACGTGTCCCAAGTATGTTATTTACCTTGGCTCTAAATGTAACTCATGCGCTGCTTGGCTAGAGGTCCGCCATTATGCCGAAGCACGAAAAAGTACTCTTGTTTGCTGCTGCGGCTTTTTTTTTTTAGCTATTTGTTCACTCTTTTGTGTAAACTGGAGCATCAAAGGCTGAAAAGAATCCTGACAAACCTAACCAGAAAAGAAAGCCTTTTTTCGATGTAGTTGAATGGAGGAGAGAAAGTGGAAGAGAACGGAGCCGGCTAAGTGTGTGTTTAGGAGATTCTTTTCAGAGATGGTGATCCCTAAAGGAGCAAATGGATCTGAAAACGGATTCTTTGGTCTGAAAACTTCTGCTGGACAGGTAAATTATGTTTAATTCTGTAGTAAGTTGGATCAGCAGCAGCGAGAACACACCAATGAATCGGTGTGTTCCTGCTAAGTGCATCCGGGCATTTTGCTGCTTTTCCAAACGAAATACAAAATTACCGGCAGAGGCGTTTCCAGCATAGAGAACTTTTGCTACAGAGGGGGCCCAGAGGGGGCACTGACGCATGCGCAGGACTCAAAAACACACAAACAGCCGTTGGACATATCTTCCACTACAGAATCCTCTTTCCTGCCTTTAAGAAATGGACAACACCTGATATACAACCCATTTCCAATTGTTAACAGTTTTCCCTGTTATTAGGTCAATAGATGCTTTATTAAAGCCTAAATGGGAGACTTTTATTTTGAAATTTGTAGTGGGTGTGCCACAATAAATAAGTGTTGCCCCAAAAGAAAAAAAAAAAGAAAAATCAATCTTTCTGGATGAAATTAAAATATCTTAATAAAGGCTAATTCTGATAGAAACAATATAGAGCAATTTATATATTCTAAAGCTGATGTGCAAGTCCCTACAGAAGTGCTAAAAAGAGCCTGTTAGCAAGTAGCAAGGAGGTTAGTAAGAAATTCTAGCCAGCAGGTTTTAAATGGTCTCTTTAGTTTTAGAAGCAATAGCAGAGGCCTTGTTTGGAGGTCTGCTGCCTACGAGGCAAACAAACAGTAAATGCTGAAAGATGTGGATAAGTGCTAATGAAAGCTGTGCTACAGAGCGTCAGCTAACATGGCTAATTGTACAACAGACTTCGCAAACCAACTTAAAACAAATAAAATTTATTTTTTGTAGGGTTGAGAATTGATAAGATTTTTTTACGATTCCGATTTCCTTATCGATTCTGTGACACAATGAACTTGGTAAATGCACGGTGACATTAGGCTACCTTCGCCTGGGGCATTCTATTTCTGCCTGCCTCTGCTAAAACATAAGGCAGTGAATGGGAGCTGCCAGCCTCTGAGCAGCCAGGCTACCCGTCTCGTCACAGTCATCTAAATCTAACGGAGAAGGCATCCGTTTAATGAAAAAGCATTACCATATAATTTCAGGAAATAAACTCATCTCACCCTGATTTAAATAAACGAGCATCCCCTTTCTCTCGCTCCCTGAACTGTAGAGCAACTTTGTAGCATATTTAATAACCCCAAAGAGAGGTAGGAGATGGGTTTATTTCCAGAAATGGCATATGACTTACTAGGAACCAGATTAAGCACAGCCAGTGATAAAAAAAACTAGCTACTTACCACCAGAGTTGCCTTCTGGTGGTTGTAACTTTAGCTTCTGTACGGAGGCTTCAAAAACACAGCATTCGTTAAAATGTATGTCATGATGTGTGCGCAGGTGTTTCTGCATGTTGGATGCATTTCCTCCCGCGGATGTTATTGCCACTTTACATCAAAATTTTTGATTGGTTTACCCGATGGGACGCCATTTTTTTTGTTTTGCTTTGCTAGACTTACGCGAGGTCACATCGTACTTGCTTACTGAATGCCGTGTGCGTAACTTGCATAAAAAAAGTGACGTAAGTCGTGCTATCAAGCAGTAGGCAGTGCTGCCTGAGACCGTTAAGAAAATCGTTAAGCGAGCCCGCAAACGGTGCCATGGAATTGGAACACACACAACCAGTTCTGAATAGGAACCAGTTTTCGATTCCCATCCCTAGTTTTTTGGGATATATAATTAGTTTTTATAAATTTAAAGAACATGGAAAAGGCAGTGTGACAATATTTTGTTTACGCTGTAATGCACTGTTGGGTAAATGACATTTCTTAGGTCCTGTAGCGCTAGCTCCATCCAGTCAAAACAACAAAGAGCAACATTAAAACTTTTCAGTTTGAACTGATGAAACTGATCAGTATGTAGAAATCACAAGAGGCACTGAGGATGAGGAGTACGGAAAGGAGCAAGAGAGAAGAGTTGGCTGAAGAAGTTGCTAGGAGATGCTAACCTAAATGCAGAGCTATGCTACAAAAAGCTCTGCTTTCTAACAGAGGCTGATTACGGTTTGCATCACGAAACATTA